AAAAAAAAATGATAATATGTAATAATTTTGACAATGGAAAGGTACTTTACAACTTCAACTAGCAAATGTTAAATTCCCCAAATCATAGACCTTAAAAAAACTTACGTCAAGACTATTCGCAGCAAGCCATTCAGCAACAATTGCGAGTTTGAAAGCTTTGCCGAGAAGAGGATTGTCAATTTGTGCGAAAAATTCCTTCTCTAGCTGAAATAGTGGTCATCAACACTCTTCTTGACTTAAGCAAGGTTTGATTGTGTATAATTTATCGTATACAAACCTCTGGACGAGTCTGACCCCGCTCGTAAAACTTCATCCAAACATCAACTGCTCCCTGCTTCTGCCAATAGTCTTTTTGCCAAACCGATCTAAAGTTGAATACTTTGCTGCTGAGACAGGCATTTAATATTCAGCGTTTCTAGAGATGCATACATACTTAGAAAATGCAGAACACATAGTAAAATTAGGATCCTGTGGTGGTGGACATAGCTTAACGGTTAATCGGTATGTTCTTTCTGCAGTAGCACGGCAAAGATTCCCGTCTGTGTTTTCCAAAAGTTTTAGCTTCCTGAAGTGTGCGAAGCTTCCACATGTTGTTAAAGAAGTCATTGTCTTCCAAACCTGCTTTCTTTGCAGAAATCGCAATAGAAGCACTCGCGGCCACAGGTAGCGACATCCATGCAGCGCAGTTTTCCTATTGGTTGAATCGACACATCCAGTTTCATTGCCAGCTTGTTGATATGTACACCTCAAACAAATTGCTCTACTCTACTTACATTTGGGATTTCTTACGACAATTTTCGCTGTCTTTAGTTGAGAAATCACGTTAGGTTGTTGAAGCAAATTTCTCGCCTTGATGTGAAGGAATCAAACGAAAATGAGGAGCCTACACAATCCTGCGGGCGTTCTGCTGGCATATAATGAATAGTTCCAATTCTTTGCTAAGAGTTGTATGTTAGTTTCTAATGTAGAATACTACTCAAGTGAATCTTATAAGTTCACTTTTTCATTTTGAACCATTACGGGAACTAAATCTTGATCAGCTTTACCTTTAAGGAAGGGCTCAGAAGTAATGTGATTAGAAAGCATTATTTTCAGGAAAAGAACCTAATTTGGTTTTGACTCTAAATTTTGCCGGAAAACATCTTTAAAATGGAGTGGTATTTTGAATACTTGTTGCATCGGAATCTCTAAAACCATTTATAGATCGATTTATATACTTGAAGTTCGGCAGATTTTCACTTACCCAGTGATTTAAACTGTATTCGCTGATGGCCTAGTTATTCTAAAACGCGTAACTACAGAAAACCAAAGAGCAAAAATTGACAATTTTTTTTATTCACTTCCAACTGTCCTCCCTTACGACCCGAAGATCCTTCATGGCCACCGCAAACGCTCTAAACCCAGAAAAAACCACTTTGATTTGAGAAGTGGAAGCTTTACAGATCGTTGACTTGAGCAATGTCCGTAACGACAGATGAAGGATGTTTACCTGGCGGCAGGGTGACATCTATTCCCATATCGAAGCAATCCGGCCATGTTAGATGTACAGTACCATCTCCGTCACGGCTTGATGGATGGGAGAACTAAAATAGCGTTCATATTTATAGGTAAAATGAAAGATTCTGAAACTACTAGGTTGAAGTCTTACAGTTGGATTGGCAAGCTTGATTGGCTGGGTGCATTCATGACCTGACACTTCACGACAGCATGCTTCTGAACGAGCATCCTTCAACCGCGTAATGAACAAGTTCTTTGATATTACAGCCTGTAATTTGATTTAAAAAGTTGACAGAGGGCATATCGGTGTTCAGAATGCACCTTGGGCAAAACATAAATAACC